TTTATTCTGCTATCCACGTGGAGAGAAGCGGAGCAGAAAACCTTACGAAGACGACGGCGTCGAGATCGGGCGGAGCGTGTAAATTTTGACTTCCAAGCCAGACGAGGACATTGACTTTGACTGACTGCATCAAGATAACAAGAACACCGCCTTGCCTGAGATCGCTTCCTTTCTCTCCACGCGTCCGAAGTTATCATTAGGGAGGGAGACAGAGAGAGAGAGAGAGAGAGAAGATGAGGAGTGCATTCCATCTCCGTCTCCCTTCTCTTCTTCCCGTTCTTCTCCTCCTGCTGCTGTCTTCATCTTTAAGCTATAGGCCTCGAGGAGCTCTTGCGGCTCAGTTCGACGTGGGTGTGATCTTAGATCGAAAGACATGGATTGGGAAGATAAGCAGGACCTGCATGATCATGGCGGTCGAGGATTTCTACAAAGCAAATCCAGATTACACCACCAGGTTGTCTCTCCACTGGAGAGACACAGACAACTCCTCCATCAGTGCAGCATCAGCAGGTAGTGTATCTCAATATGAGCCCTGCAAATTCTTCCCCGCCACCCCTAATTGCCCTATTTCATTAGAATCCCACATATTAACTTCAAGAAAGCGTTAAATTGCAGCTCTTGACCTGCTGAAAAATGTCCGAGTGCAAGCTATCATCGGGCCACAGACATCAACACAAGCCAAGTTTGTAGCAATACTTGGAGATAAAGCTCAGGTGCCCATCATCTCCTTCTCTGCGACGAGTCCAACCACGTCTTCCTCTCAGAACCCATACTTCATCCGCACTGCGTGGAATGATTCCTCTCAAGCCCAAGCCATTGCGTCCCTCGTCGAAGCCTTCGGCTGGAGGGAAGTCGTTCCCGTGTACGAAGACTCCGAATACGGCGCCTCAATTGTGCCTCATCTCATCGACGCCCTGCAAGAAGTCGGCGCTAATGTCCCCAACAGGAGCATGATCCCTCTGTCGGCCACCGCGGATCGACGGCTTGTGCTTGCGGAGCTCCAGAAGCTGAACCAGAGCAGGACGAGGGTCTTCGTGGTCCACATGTCGTACTCTCTGGCCTTCCGGCTCTTCTCCACCGCACAGGAAGCAGGAATGATGGGAGAGGGGTACGTGTGGATCACCACCTACGGCCTAACCGACCTCGTCGATCTCCAGGGTCCGGCCGCCGCCCGCATCATGCGCGGTGCGCTTGGCATCAGGCCTTACGTTCGCAATACCACGAAACACCAGGTCTTCAAGGCGCGGTGGCGGCGGCGGTATCACCAGGAGAGCGTGAACGACAACGTGACGGAGCCCACCGTCTACGGGCTGTGGGCGTACGACACGGTGTGGTCGCTGGCCATGGCCGCGGAAGCTGTTCGAGCTTCGTCGAGTTCTCCGTTTACCTGGTCCAACGTCACCAACAGCTCCACCGACCTGGGACGGCTCGGGTCATCCCCCACCGGACCGACGCTGCGGGAGCTGATACTGAACACGACGCTCGTCGATGGCATGAGCGGCAGGTTCGAGATTGTGGAGGACGGGCAGGTGCTGCAGTCGAGAGCGTTCGAGATACTGAACGTGGCGGATGACGGCTGGAGGAGGGTCGGCTTCTGGACTCCGACGCACGGAGCGTCCCGGCACATGAACAAGGCGACCGCTCTTAGAGTCGTCGAATGGCCCGGTGGCGGCACGAAACCGCCCAAGGGATGGGAGTGGCCGACGGCCGGTAACAAGCTTATCGTCGGCGTTCCAGTGAAGCCCGGTTTCCCGCAGTTTGTGACGGCGAACAACTCCGTCCCCGACGGATACTGCATCAAAGTATTCGAAGCCGTCCTGAGTCAACTACCTTACCATGTTCCCATCCAGTACGAAATATATAAAGACAACCATGGAGAGAGCAATGGAACATACGATGATCTCGTCTACCAAGTCTTTCTTCAGGTCAGTGGCATTCATCTTGTGAGATCGTAAACCAACACAGGATATCTAATCGACGGCTGAATGCAGAAATATGATGCTGTGGTGGGTGATGTGACGATACGGGCGAACCGATCGCTATACGTGGATTTCACTCTGCCCTTCACCGTGTCCGGCGTGTCCATGGTCGTCCCCATCAGGGATGAGCGCCGGAAGGACGCGTGGACCTTCATGAATCCGTTGACGCCGAACCTCTGGTTCGCGAGCGGCGCCGCCTTCGTCTTCACCGGGCTGGTGGTCTGGTTTCTGGAGCACCGGATCAACGTCAACTTCAACCCCGGGCGGGCGTCGAACCAGATTGGCACCGTCTTCTACTTCTCCTTCTCCACGCTCGTCTTCGCCCACCAGGAGAAGGTGCTGAGCAACCTGGCCCGGGTGGTGGTGGTCATATGGTTGTTCGTGGTGCTCATACTGCAGTCGAGCTACACCGCCAGCTTGACCTCCATGCTCACCGTGCAACAGCTTCAGCCCACCGTGAGCGACGTGGATCAGCTCGTCAGGGACGGCAGCAAGGTCGGGTACTTGAAGGATTCCTTCATGCCGGGGCTTCTGAAGCGGCTCAAGTTTAATGAGTCGCAGCTGATCGCCTACGAGTCGCCGCAGGAGTACCATGATGCCTTGCTCAATGGAAGTGTTGCAGCCATTGTGGATGAGATACCCTACCTCAAGGTCTTCCTCTCAAAGTACTGTGACAAGTTCACCATGGTTGGAACCATCGACAAGACCAGTGGACTTGGATTTGTGAGTAACCCTCCGCATACTTTACTGCAGATCAAGTAATAAGGATTAGCACACTTGCACACATAGTTCTACACGAACTACTACTTATCTAAGGTTAGATTTTGCCATAACTCTGCAGCAAAAGAAACTACTACATATTCACACAAAAATGTAAACAAGATTTGAAGAGACATAAGTTTTGCTTTCTTATCTTAACACTTTTGAGCTAGTTTTGGTTACTATATAAATCTCAAATTCTACAGCAGAGACATAAGTTTTGCTTTCTTATCTAACTGATAAAGTATGTCACAAGATGTTCCTGGAGAGGTAAGGTCTGATCATCCATCATAAATCAAAGGTGTTTCACTCATCTTCTATTTTCATACATGTTTACCGGTATCATCTGCAATATCTGTGAACACTGTGTTTAGGATCACCTTGTCCTGGAAGGCCACACTATTATCTTACAAAAGATGTTCTTCTACAAACTCCAGCAACATTCAGTTTCTGAAATATTGATTGCATATATTTGAATCACCTTTCTGAAATCTCATTATTCATTGTTGTTTCCGTTCTTTCTACAGGCCTTCCCAAAAGGTTCACCACTAGTTCCTGATGTTTCCAGGGCTATTCTGAATGTAACAGAGACCAACAAAACGAAGGATCTTGAGAACATGTTGTATGGGAACACAAGTTGTCCCGACAAAGATCCTGACATGACTTCAAGCAGACTTACATTTAACAGCTTCTGGGGCTTGTTTCTCATAAGCGGAGCAACTTCTTTCTCTGCCTTGATTCTACATCTAGTTTTCTTCCTCTACGAGCATAGGCATGGTTTACAAGATGGTCGATGGCGCTCTATACTTGGATGGCTCGCGACGTTGGCCAAGCTCTATAGTCAGACAGACTCTTGTGCTGATGCACCGGAGAAGGCCAAACCTCAAGATGGAACAGCAACTGGTGACATTCCGAGTTCACCCTACCTTGACAGTGGGTGGCAAACCCCATCAAGCATTTCCAACCACGCAAATGGATATCTCGGATCTGAAGATGACACAGGAACTCCACCCGAGGAGGAAGAGACCCCAGGGAGAGAGATCTCTGAACAAACTCAAGGTTCTCCATCATTTGCTGAGATGCTGAGGAGGTGAGACTCGTTGTCCTCTAAGGTGGCTGAGTGATCTATTGGCTGAAATCAATACTGCAAGTAATCTACTTGTCAAAAGTGCTAACATTCATCAACTACAATCCTATAGGCAAAGGAAAACAAAGAACAAACCAATACGATTCTTGTTCCTTTCAGTAATTGTGTATAATCGAAGTGGCAACCTTCCAAATTGTTTTAGTTGTTTCCATAATTCGTAGCATATAATGGCCATTAGTTCCATCAAGTTTTTCGAGTTCTCCAAGCAATAAAATGCATTAACAGACTCTGTTGAGCTATTGTTCTATGGACAAGGAGATGTAAATGAGATGTGTGACACTGTGTGTGTGTGTGTGTGCCAGTCTCTACCGTCATATGGTTCCAGAAGGACTTAATGCAACCATTACAACTTCCTTCTTTTCTTGTGTATTCAGCTACTGTTCTTGATGGTTGTCGGTCGTCATCCTACCATGATCATACTAACCTTTTTCCTTCACTTTCTCTTCCTTCTTCCATACACTTCACACAACTTTTGAAATGGCACGAGTCCATTTCATTGGGCCAAAAAAACTCGTAGAAGAAAAAGAACATGAATCAAACGAGTTGACACTCAGTGGATGATTCGTATCAACAGTGAGTGAAAACATGACCATGACAACCTGTTCTATGCCCACTTCTCCACAGGAAAAGACACTAAAAAAGGTACCTTTTTCACGGTCTGGCCCAGGGGATGTCTAATTCTCACTTGTCAGCAATTTCGGAGGAATCTGAAACCATCGCATCTAACCTCGCTGCAAAAAGTTAGAGAAAAGAAAAAAGAATCGAATCCATTAAACACCGCATGATCATCTGAACCTATATAACGAAGGGAAAGAAAGGAACCAAAAATCCAATCCTAACAACAACTATCGCAATAACCTCCAAGAACGACGGTTCGTAGTGATCGGAGACAATTCGCCAGGGAGCACCTCCGTAATTGGCTCAGATTCCACGCCGTTGGCCGTCGTCGCCATGGTCGAGCGCCGTCAAGGGCATGCGCGGCCTTTGGCCGGGAAGATTAGGGCCCCGTCGGCTGAAGTCGCGGGTTTCGCATCAACCGACCCGTTTAGAATCAAATCGATAAGAATGCGGGACGAATTGGACCCGAAAACTATTGGAATCCGATTTCGTTCGCTCTTACACTCGGCTTCGGAGTTTGGGCACATCGTTGGGCCCGTGTTAGCTTATGGGCCCCATATCACGTGCTCAAATCAATTCAATCACGTGTGTTGTCGGTGGGAATAAAAAATACACATTTTGTTGTCTCCAAAAAAATCATTTTACAACAAAATGTTTAAATTTGATACTAATATTTAATAACATTTATTGTTTGCAAATTAGTAGATAAGATTAGATGTATAATTAAATCATCATTTTTTTAGGCCTAAATTGGATTGTTAGAATTAAAATCATAAGAAAAAAATATTTTTTTATCGTTTCAATGGGACAAATAATTTAGTCTTCTAAAGTCTTCTTTTTGGAACCATATAGTCTACCATGATTTAAGCAGTCATTTGTCGATAATGAATGACATAACATATTCCTCATTGTCCTGTGGTTGCTAAGGAATATGATGGTTTCAGTTCGAAATCAACATATAAAATTAGATTTGTGAGTGTAAATTTTTCTTAGTATATCAACTAAAGCTAATTATAGATTATCTTTTATAATTAGTTATCTTTAAAATTTTAATCATTATATTTTCAAAAGTTACATGGGGATCTTTATACTTACGAAGTGAAACATTTAACCTCATTTCTCCTCATATTATCGATTTTAATGATGAAAACACTATATATACTCAATAGTAGATCGAAGTAAGATAGGATTAACATATACTCAGTGGTCAACTTTACGATATTTTCATAAACAGAATTGATGATGTGAGGAAAAACGAGATTAAATGTTTCACTTTTATAAGCATAGAGATCGTAATACAGTAAATATATAGATCAAAATGTTAAAGATATCTAATTACATAGGATAATATGTAATTATATGCTTGTGCTCACAAATGTTTCTCCTTAAAAAAATATTAGAAATAGATAAGGTGGTACCACATTTCTACTTTAAACCTGCTGAAGAAAGGTCTTAGGATAACCTTGGGAAGCATAAATCTTGCATCTTGTTGGTGTGTGACTCCACCAATCCTATTCAAATCATTTGTAAGGTACAACCAGATCCATCGGGGCACGAGAGACACAGTTAGCAGTTGTCTTTTAATTATCATGGTGCTCTAAAAAGGTTAATCCTGTGGTAGATTGATTACTTAGTATTATCATTTTAGATTAACTCATTTTCTTTATAGCTTCTACTATTGTGTTTCTATTTTTTTCTTGCACAGACTGCAATCTGTTGTTGTTTTCTATTGCATTGATCATAAGAACTTAGCTATTTAAACTTGAGGAACAGAGATGATGCTATAGAAATCCACAAGTCTTCAAGATCCAAGACAAGGAATTATTCCTTCAGTTAGCATGTAGTTGAGGTGTCTTTTCATGGGTCCTATGAGAAATCTAGGCACTGAAGTGAGCAAAAGAAAAGTTGCTAGTCTTTTTAGATTTGAGTTTGGTGGTGGTTTTGGAAGAACCACATTCTTCTCATGCACATGAGGAGTAGCTTGAGGTTGCTGTCACCCTGTCACTGTCTGAGGTTAACTTTGCTGCTCATGCCACTGACAAACAAAGCAATTTGATTATGCAGGATAGATCTATTCAAATCACTTTATCTTGATTTGTTTCTTCTTTTGATTACTTGTATATGGATTCAGTTTCCATTTTGCTGTGCATTCTATTCCCCTGTGGTGCTTTTGTTGTTGAGAGTATTTTATGAAATGTGAGTACCTTTCTTTACCTATTGTTGTTGTCATTCCTAATAGGATTGCAAAATGAAGCTGTGTTCTTCCTGTATCAGTTGACACAAAATGTTGTTCACCTCGCAGAAAATTACACAAAATATTGAGAAATCCCACAAGTCATCTGGAAATGTCCAAGTATTCAATTTGGGAAGAAAGGAATAGAAGCTAAAACTTCAAATAGAATGCTTGAATGCTCTCCATTTGCCAAATCATAAAGGATACAGCTGCTGCCTGATTCATTCAGTACCTTTTTTGGCCTGTACAGTTCTTGTTCAGAGACCCTCTGAGGTGTTCTTGAGGTAATCTTATTGCAGTAAACCTCCTTTCACCACACACTGAGGCCTTCTAAGAAATTGCTTGTGGCCCGCAGTTATTGAAGTGCGCACTGTGAGTTGTCTTCCCTGTTGAAAGAAATGTGCAGGTTGCATGGGCTACAGGGAAATGAAGGAAGTAAAGACAATCACATTCTACCCATGGTTGCATCTGGGAAAGTTGAAAGCAGTGGAGCATTTGCTTGTTTGAGGCATTGGGAAACACCCACATGCTCTCAGGCTTTACGACTGCAGATACCTTTCTCCAATATGCTGCCTTGTGTAAGATTGGAGCTCAGGGGCAGAAGGCAACCTTAACCCCAGCCCCTCCTGCTACCTTCTCTCCTCTCTCCTCGCTTGCATTAGTAGTCGAAGAGTGCTTCTTGCTTCAAAACCGGATTTTGATGTTGGAGCTTGTGGGAGGCGTTCTTCGTTTCGAGATTTCGGTTGTTAGGCTGTCTTGACCATCGAGGAGAGCGGAGCTCTTTTGCCATCTCTTTCTTGAGTTGGTTTGGTTTGCAGTTCGGGAAGAAAGCAATGGCTCCGAGGTTGGATTTTTCCGACTGGTGGACGAGGAATTCACGAAAAGGCACGCCGGTGATAGTGACCATGGAGAATCCTAACTATTCCGTGCTCGAGATCGATGGCCCCGACGAGGAAGCGTTCGGCTCCATGGAGAAGGACCGGGGGAAGAATGCGAAGCAGTTCTCCTGGAATTTGCTCCTCAAGGCCCACCGCGCCGTGGGTTGCGTCGCTTGGTCGGCGACCGCGCTGTGGGCTCTGCTTGGAGTCATCAAGAAAAGGTTGATCTCCCGGCAAGGAGGCGAGAAGCCCGGCAGAGGCCGGCTGCTGCTGAGAGTTCTAAGGATGTTCTTGGTGTTGTCTGTGGTAGCTCTCGCTTTCGAGTTTGTTGCTTACTGGAACGGATGGCACTTCCAGAAGCCAAACTTGCAGCTGCCCGAAAACCTGCACATCCCGGAGACCACCGAGATCCGAGGGTGGCTGCACTCGGCCTACCTCTCATGGCTTCTCTTCCGAGCTGACTACATTGCCCACCCAATTCAGATGCTGACCAACGTATGCATAGTTCTCTTCATCATTCAGTCAGCAGATAGGATGATTCTTTGCCTTGGTTGCTTCTGGATCAAATTCAAGAAGATCAAACCGAGAATCGACGGGGATTCATTCAAGGAGTATGAGCATCCCATGGTCCTAATTCAGATACCCATGTGCAACGAGAGGGAGGTAATGAACTCAATTCTAGCTTCCAACCTTCTCATCTTTTTCTGATTTAATTGATAGATATTTCAAGTCTGATATTGTTAGAACTTGCAACAAGATGCTTGATGATCACCTCAAAAGCAATCTGTGTTCGGTGGATTCTCCTAAATTTTGAATTGATCAGGTGTATGAACAATCGATCTCTGCTGTCTGCCAAATCGACTGGCCTAAAGATCGGATGCTAATCCAAGTGCTCGATGATTCTGACGACGAGGCCATCCAGATCTTAATCAGAGCAGAGGTTTCTAAGTGGAGTCAGCGAGGTACAAACATCGTCTACCGACACCGGTTGGTTAGGACTGGTTATAAAGCTGGAAATCTGAAATCAGCAATGGGCTGTGATTATGTTCAGAATTACGAGTTTGTGGCGATATTTGATGCTGACTTCCAACCAAATCCTGATTTCCTTAAGCTAACTATTCCACATTTTAAGGTAAAGATGCCTTATAGATCAGTCGGTAATCATCAGTTCAATTGATACATCATATGTGCTACCTGTGATTCAGGGAAATCCTGAGCTTGGATTAGTTCAGGCACGGTGGAGTTTCGTAAACAAGGATGAGAACCTGTTGACTCGTCTCCAATATATCAATCTTTGCTTTCATTTCGAAGTTGAGCAGCAGGTAAATGGAGTTCTTTTGAATTTTTTTGGTTTTAATGGAACTGCGGGGGTGTGGAGAATCAAAGCATTGGAGGATTCAGGAGGTTGGCTGGAGAGAACCACCGTAGAGGATATGGACATTGCCGTTCGTGCACACCTCAAAGGTTGGAAGTTCATCTTCCTAAATGATGTCAAGGTAGTACCAAATCCATCTGAAACTCTCATGCTCCTTTAATCCTTCCTTCCTTCTCCAGCTAACTCCATCTGCCAAGGCAGGTCCTCTGTGAAGTCCCAGAATCTTACGAGGCTTACCGAAAACAGCAGCACCGATGGCACTCTGGACCAATGCACCTATTTCGCTTATGTCTTCCAGATATTATTAGATCAAAGGTTTGTTCTCTCCTAGAACATCAACCGGTTCAGTTCGGTGAATCTGAAAATTCATATTCTAACTTGATCTTTTACAGATATCGATATGGAAGAAGGCTAACTTGATCCTGCTGTTCTTTCTTTTAAGGAAGTTAATCCTTCCATTCTATTCTTTCACATTGTTTTGTGTAATTCTTCCCGTCACGATGTTCGTCCCTGAGGCTGAGCTACCTGTTTGGGTAATTTGTTATGTGCCGGTCCTCATGTCCTTCCTCAACATTCTCCCAGCACCAAGATCTTTTCCGTTCATCGTGCCGTATCTTCTCTTTGAGAACACCATGTCGGTCACCAAATTCAATGCCATGGTCTCAGGATTGTTCCAACTTGGGAGTTCATATGAATGGATTGTTACCAAGAAAACAGGCAGGTCATCAGAGTCAGACCTATTAGCAGCAGCAGAGAGGGAATCAAAGAGCATTAGTCTTTCAAAAATCCATAAAGGTGTATCGGAAAGTGAACTCAGTGAGCTGAGCAAATTGCAGGAGGAACAGGGAAAAGCTCTACCTCCTGTCAGGAAGGAAAACAAGATTTACAAAAAGGAGTTAGCTCTTGCTTTTCTCCTCCTCGTCGCTGCAGCTCGAAGCCTGCTGTCTGCCCAGGGAATTCACTTCTACTTTCTTCTCTTCCAAGGAGTATCATTCCTTTTAGTCGGTCTTGATCTCGTCGGAGAGCAGATGAGCTGATACGAGTAAACAAAGAAGAAGGAAAGGAACTCAACTGCTTAATTATACAGCTGCACTTTAATGGAGAATAACATTTATTCACACATTGATACTATATCATATGTGAGTATGCTTGTTCAGTTCAAGAAATTATAATCCGAATTCTGGTTCTTCATCTTTGACACATTATACTGGAGGTTGCTATCTCATCTTGAACAATAAGATTATGGATAGGATTCTGGTCAACATTCTTCTTTCTCAATCGATATTCTTGTAAAGCCAAGAACTCAGGGTTGGCTTCTCTTCCAGCATAAAACCATCTGTAATTTTAATTGTTAATAGAGTTTGATTTCTTTTTAGGTATATATGATTGAGCAACACTTTATGTTTGAGCCGATTCAGTCTGTTTCTGAAATTAAGGATATACTCATTTCTGAATTGCCTTCATGAATCTGCTGAACTGCTGCTTTCCTACACTTCCTTTGCCTACCACTGATCTGTGTCCTTTTTGTTCCTTGTTGATGATGATGATGACTGTCAAATGGATTTGGCCTTAGGAACTGTCGGCAGGGGCATCGTCGGGTGTGAGGGAGTGTGTGGAAAATCAAGGCATTGGTTAGCACCTACCACCCCTCAATTATGTACTGAATGATTGAGGAGGGAGAAGGGTCCCAAAGCTGAAGCATATGGGCACATTCACTGGATCTCTTGGTCATGCTCCATGACAGAATGCTGACATCCCCTTGTTGTAATGTTGTCAACTGGTTTAGATGGCCAACAACCATTCTTTAGCTGTGGATTCTGGTCACTTGCCTGCTAGAATAGAAATCACCTCATCTCTGTTCAGCTTCCTTGTGTTCTCTGGCCATCGCTCGTCCTCGTTGCCACCGCTGTTGGACATGGATCTGTGTCGATCCAGCAGGAAGTTGGAGACACTTCCATTGTTAATTTTTACAAGCTTGTAGCAAACTCAACTGATGTTAACAGCACTAATCCACTATTTCATTCTGCCAGCTTGAGGAGATCAACTTGAGCTGCATTCTGATTCTGTAGCCAGTGAAGCCAATGATGAAATGAACTTACAGAATCTAGTCATCTACTGCATGCTAATATACAATTTCATCTTCGAATGGACCGACTGTTGCATTCAAGATGTTAACTGATAACAGTGCTAATTATTCTGAAGGTGTTCATGTCACCTGTTGGAATGAGCAAGGCGCCCTTTTAGAGTTCTTCTGGTCTGCAGAGTAGTTGAACCCTGGATTTATGGGAAGATGAAGCCTTCCTGGATTCTGATGAGGTGAAGGAGATGCAACCTTTGCGCTGTGGGTTCCTTTCCAAGCAATTGCATGGTCCTACTCCCATGTGCAACCTTCTGGGCTTGTTGTTCATACCTTCTGCAAACAGAGATCATTTCCACCTATCTAGAAAATGTCAGACACCAAATGCCAGTCTCACCTCATGAGGGAAAAAAGATGTATTGATTTGTCTTCATCAATACCTCCATGGCATTGTCTTTTCCTCTTCTGAATGGTTGTTCATCACCTTCCTCATCTTGGTACTCTCATCTTAACCCCAACAAAAATATTTGTACTCATTGTGTGGGGGCATATGTTTCATTATCTGGCCTTGCTATAGCATCATGTCCATCAGTTTTATCAATGCAAGGACAACATTTTAGATCTCAAGTTACTTTCTAAAACAACAACAACTACTACTACAATGAATACAAATTTTTTGGGATTAAAGCAGGAAGATGCACTCTTAAGTTACAGTTCCCCCTTCTTGAATCTTTTGTGGGAGTGTCAATTAATCAATATTAATGATTGGTTAAAGGAATAATTAATATACATGAAAAAAGATGAGTTTATTACTGCAGATTATGATTACAGTTCTCAATGGAAATTTTGAAGAAGTCAATGAATAGACCAAACTGCAATTATGACATTCTGATATCTACCAAATTGTAATTAGTCCTCTGATTGATTCCTCTACCTTCCATATTTCTTCTTACATTCAGTGCAATTAGTTCTGTTGCTTGTGGTGTTTCCAGCCATGGGCTTCCAGTTAGAACACCATCAAGAACAATCACAGAGCTTTGTACCCATGTTAAAGACTCCTGCCCATAATACCCAGCTTCCAGCATTAAGATCACTAGCCCATTATGACATTCTGATTCACCCCACATTAGAATTGCGATGGTATGCAGGGATGAAATAGATTTATAATTTGAGCAGAAACTTGCAGTGAAGATCATGTCGATATGCAGAAAAACCTCCTCTACCTTCATTCCAACTGTCGAAGGATAGAAGATAGTTGCCCAACAAGAAAGAGAGCATGGCAAGGGATCAGGAGCTGCTTGTTCTTGCGAGTGATGCACAAGTGAATCCATGGCAGCAGATGGATTCTCAGAACAGCTCCTGCTAGAAGAACCAGATGCATTTTGTCATGCAGTAACTGATATCAGGGAAAGTTGCATCGAGAAATACAACCTACCAACACAGCATTGTCTATAATTTCTCTTTTCAGAGAAGATGGTGTTCTTATGTATCTAAGCATCAGAGTTAATCGAATGGTGTGCAGATTTCTGTGTTCATGAAATCTTAGACATACTAGTAGAAATTGTCCAAGCTTATGAGGCAAGCATGAACATGCACCATACTATGCCTGGATGTCTCGACATCATTACTGATGCAAATATTTGAATTGATCAAATGATCACAGATGCAATCTTGTTTTACTGCTAAGGAAAAAAACTTTTTGAGTGTCAAAGATGATTTACTCGTGCCAGTTCAAAGTCCAGAACTGATATCAGAGATGGATTCCTATCTTGTTCTGTTCCCTACAATCCACAGCAGAGTTCTTCTTGCAAATGAAGGGGTTTCATCCAGCCTTGACACCACATGGCTGTTGTAGTTCCCAGCCTCCACATCCGAATATGTTTCATTGCTCTTCTTCAGCTTGATCTCATCTCTTTCCAAGTGCAGTGGCAATCCGAAAGACGAAGCCCGCCTTGAAGCATCCTCGGCAATCGGTTCATCTTTCCCTGAGCGCAGCCATATCTTTGATACAGAAAAGCTCTCTTTCCTGTGTAGATTAGCATTACCATCACCGGTTCCAAACTCGGCATTTCTTAATGCATCAAACACTTGGAATCCCTCTCTTGCTGAATGGCAATCACATTCTGACATGGCAACCCGGTGGCCTGGATTCTTGAGAGATGGCTTCTTCTTGGTTGGTTTGATGGTGACTCGTAGCGAAGAGCTCTCATCCATCATATACTCATAGGAACCCATGGAGAAGCATCTCCTTTGATCCAGATTGCTATTGCCGCTAGTAGTTGCTTGACCTTCTCCTTCACCGACATCCACACTCCTCAACTTTCCAAGCTTAACAGGCACTACTTTGGCCTCTGCAAACTCTGAAACTGAGACTGCTGCAACTTCGACTGGCTTTTGTGATGTCTCATCGATCGAAGTCTCAAAGTCAGTCTCTCCGGAGACACCAAGATTTGCAGTTGACACGGACTCCCTTGAGCTCTCACTACCAGTCTCGAGAACGAGAAATGTAGGACTACAGCTAATGGTAGGAGAGAAGTCAGAAAGAAGGCTTCTCCGACAGAGAGGACAAGTGGAGTGGGACAGGAGCCAAGTATCTATGCACTGTGCGTGGAAGGCATGGCTGCACTTGGGAAGCAGCCTGAGCTTGTCATCAGCTTCGAACTCGCAGAGGCACACAGCACAATCGAATGGGTCTTTCAGGCCTACAATGGACGTGTATTGGAAGACAGGAAGGGTGTCTATGAAGGACTGATCCACTCCTGCATCATGGAGGTGAAACAGCTGCTGAAGCTCACCTTGGAGAGCTGTGGCATTGCTCATGGCATCTGGCTCCCTGTTGTTGGGTCTCAGGAGGTATCTCACAAGGAGGTGGAGGAGACCAGAGATGAAGAAGATGACTGCTAGAATGACAATTATGAGGAGGATGCTGGGAGAAATTCTGTTCTCAAAATTAACAATGGTAGGAGGAGGAGGAGGTGGTGGTGGTGTTGGTGTGAAAGATGGCAATGGGAGTGAAACTGGAGAGAGAAGGCTCCCCTGTTTCATGCTTGCATGCAAGGCCAAGTTCATGTTCTGATCAAAGGAAAAGCTCGAAGAGAGAAAGAGAGAAGAGAGAGAGATATAGCTGATACTAACCAGATCTTGTTGTCTTGTTTGAGAGCACCCTCACTTCCAGAACCACATCATCGATCTCAGGAAACATATCTGGTGCCTGTGTCTGATGCAATGGGCACTACCGGAGGAGGGGTCGTAGCTATTTGTTCTCTTCGCTGCAAGAAGAGAACAAGGAGAACACAAATTTTGCAGGTCAGTTTGAGGAAGCTGGACAGATGAGGATCCTTGATGGGTGGAGAGATTAATGGTGTGTCAGCTGATGGGGTCAGACATAAATGAGCTCATTACAATTGGATGGTGGGAGCAACACAATAAAGAAACAAGCTCAGTGAGTTGGGTGTTGCTTGTATCTGCCAGGACTTGTATTCAATGGCAATGAACATGGCAAGGTACTTCTGCCATTTTTTTTTTTTGGGAGGAGATGAATCTTTTAGGAACTCCCACTCTCACCAAATCCAAAGCTGCTGCTGCTTCTTCTTCTTCTTCTTCTTCTTCTTCTTCTTCTTCCCTTCCATTTGACTTTCCACAGCAACTTTTCTGCAGCAAGCTCAATACCCCCATTAATTCCTCTCCCATGAAACCAAGACAGAGTGGAGTTGCAGATCTCCCAACCACCATCTTTTGCTAGTTGCTTGATCTTTTCTACACACTTGCCGGTTGCACTGCAGGGAGTTTCATGTTCCTGTGCTGCTTTCTTCTGTATAGGGATTGCTGTCTGTGTCCTTTTCCTGTGGCCTTTCTCTTTCCACTGCATATAAAATGTTGTCGGCAGCATGGAGTTGGACTATGTTCATGAAATCGAATGGAGGATTTCAGGGTGAGATGCATGGTCGCAGTTGGTTGACATTGCAAATGCTCAGGTTTCATGGGAAAGAGGAAGTCATGGACCAAATCAAGGGCTACACTTTTCCAGGTCTTGTGTCTCATGGGGCTCTGGGGACTTGGTAGATGTGGAGACATGGAAAGATGGAGCCATCCATGGGAGTTGGCGTTGGACTTAATTGCCATGATCATGGAGAGACAGCTTTGGAGTTGGAAGTCAATGTCTCAGCTCTGGACTCACATTTAATTGACCTCTTCTTAAATTATTTTGGATGGTCAAAGTGGACAGAGACACCAAAGTGATATGAAATTTGAATTACGTGAAAGTCATCACTCATCTAAAGATTTAGGTTTGAAATATATTGTTTGATGCATCTTCTTGGATGTTTGGATCATACAAACTTTAACCTATTTTAATAAGTAGCATTCGAGAGAAAATTAGACCATGTCATATAGTACTAATCAAAATTGAATCGACCCACATGAGCCTTGGATGACGTGTGTCATACTTGTTAGTCCGAAGTAATAGATTGGGCTAACATACAACGAGTTAAATAAAGGGCCGACGATGTGTCTAGTGTCAATTGTATAGCTAGGCAGGCCTAATTTCATGGACTAGGTTGAGTCTTACTTAGGAGTTTGACTGAGTCTTATCACTGAATTGGGTCATGCCTAGCTCACTGGTTGAGTTGTGTCTAACCACATGTATTAGGTCACGCTTGTCCGTATTGGTTGAGTTGTACTTAGTCACATGGACTGGCTACATGAGCTAAATCATCCCTAACCATATGGGTTAGGTTGTAACTGGTCACATGTACTAGGGTATGCCTAACTATATGGACTAAACCATACATGACCACATGGGCTAGATCATACTTTACCACATGAATTAAACTATATCTGATCACATGGGCTAGGTCATATGTAATCATATGGCTTAGATCATACTTAACCATATGGGTTGGATCATGCTTGAATTTTTCTTCATAAAATAACTATTTTAAATTCATGATTTCAAATATAAAACTAATTAAATCATAAAAATTCACACATAATTTCTTGAAATATAAACATATATAATTAAATAAATTAAATATATTATTAATATTAAATTAATTAAGCATTCTAATATCATATATTTAATAATATTTATTTATTAATTATAAAATTAAAAATATTATTATACGTTATACAAATTATAATAATTCTAATATCAAATATTTCAAAATATAAATAAAAGCCTATAAAAAAGAGAGTAGAGAACCGTACCTCTACTCGGGAATCTTCTTCTTTCGGAATTTATTTATAAATCCTTAAGCTTTGGTGAGAAATGACGGAGGGAGAGGCCCCTATGTAGGAGAAAATAAGTTCTCCCCGAATTATAATATTTATTTATTATGGTTCACACAAAAAGAAATTTTAACTATTTATTTTATAAAAACCACACAAAAATAAAATTTAACCTATTTGATTTTTTTAAAATCGCATCACTCATTAGGAAATAAATAAATAAATTGATAAATTTTTTAACTTGTCTACATAATTAAGGAAATCAATTTTAATCATTTCCTTAATCATATTATATAAATAAGGAAATTAATAATTTAAATAAAATACTGTATTATTTATGGTAATTTAACTTATATTAAGAGAAAAAAATAATCGATGATTACACAAAAATATATCAAAACCATCCAAAAATGCATATAAAGTCAAATGACGGTCAATAAAAACTATAAAACAGACCCACTAACCCACTTCACACGATTAATGTAATCACCAGGATTATATCCACTCGTTTATAATTTAAAATTACCTTAATTAAATATTGCCTTATTTGGATTGATCCGTTTCCTTATTTGTGTAATATGATTAATAAAATAATTAAAATATATATGATTAAGAAAATAACTAAAATATATTTCCTTAAAGATGTGAAAAATAAGAATTTAATTAATTAATTATTATAAAAATAATTTTTTATATTGATGATGATTTATGCACTATTAAAGATAAAAAAATCTGATTTAATTATAATAAATATTTGCATGACTCAAAGTATCTATATTTGCATGACTCAAAACAAGATATTTTAACTTGATGTTTCAAATATTGAAAGACATATTATTAGTGTAACAGAAAGGAATGAGTTTAATTTATGGTATTTAAAATATAGACACTTTAACATTAAGGGTTTAAGATTATTAAGTAAAATAATAATAATTTTTAGATTGTTTAAAATTAATACACTTTATATATGTGAAGGAGGCATTTATAGCAAATAAAGTAAGAAACTATTTTTTATTGAAAAAACATGAAGAGCATTTAATTATCTTAAATTAATTCATGCTATTTAGATATATAAATATAAAATCATTTAATAAAAGTTGATATTTTATATTATTTATTGATATTATAATTACATGAGTTTAATATATTTTCTAGAACTGAAATCTGAAATATTTAATAATTTTAAAATTTTAATACACTTGTGAAAAAGCAAAATGATAGATGTATAAAGATACTTCGAATAAGCAAAATTAGTGAATTTTTATTAAATTAGTTTATTTTTTTATAAAAAAAATATATTCATAGGGAATTGATAGTAGTACATACACCGGAGCAAAATGGTGTAGCTGTACACAAGAATCGGACTATCATTGAAATGATAAGAAGTTTGATTAAGGGAAAGCATCTTTCAAATCAGTTTTGAGTATAAGTCGTTACAATAGTAGTTTATTTGTTGAATATTTCACGAACAAAAATTATTATAAATTAAACTCCCTTTGAAGCTTAGTATCATATAAAGCCAAGTGCTAGTCATTTAAGAATTTTTAATTATATTACTTATGTTTTAATAAATTCACAAAACCATCGTAAGTTTAAGCAATTGTTATTTCAATGATAAATTTAAAAAATATATCTTTATTTGTTATTCCTTATAATCTTAAGCAATTGTATAATCCTATTAATGACAAAGTTATAATTAATAAAAATATTATGTTTAATGAAAAAACAAGTTAGAATTAGAAAAATAATGAAGATAAAAAATAAATTTATATTTCAACAAAACTAAACACTCCATAAAATTAAATGACATATTTTGTTATAACAAGTTTATCATCAGCCTCACCTATTAGTAGTTCAAATTCATCATATGATTTCTTAGATGAAACCTCTCTAAGAAAATTCATATCATTAACAAATTATGATTCAACATTTACCTTATTTATTTTAGATCCTATAAGTTTTGAAAAAATAGTTCACTGAAACCGCTTAATTCAAATATTTATGGGCTGTAGAATTCACAGCCTACTCTGCCACTGTTCTTTTCCCCAATGAGATACAAGAATTCCCTTCTTCCTGCAGATCCAAAAAATTGCCCAAGAGAACAAGTAATAAATCATATTTCTGTAGCAAAAACCCTAATGAATTCCAAAGACTTCAATTCTATACATGCTTTCAAAGCTTAAACACTACAAAAGTACAACATGGTTTGTAGTCTTTAAGATTGAGAGCAAAACAGGAACAAATGTTAGATCTGATTTTGAGCACTCTCACACTTGGATGACAAAGAGACAAGTCATATATTTTATATAATTTGGCAGATAAAATTCTGAAAGGCGCCTCCAGCCGCTGCCATCACTATTTCGGACAATCAGATAAAACTCTGCTTCTAATCACCATTATTTGTAGTATGTCATACAGAATTCAGCTCTTTCATATATTCAAGATGTGAAGAACTAGCATTGAAATCTTGGCATTCTTATGTGTTTTTAGCATAAATTAGTCTAAAATCTAAAAGATTGTTGTTACATGAGTTCATAGCTGTATACTGTGTTACACATGTAGTCTGCTGAAGAAGCTCAAAAAAATCAACAAACTATACATGATATAAGCTATTCCTTTTAGATGATAGCACTGTCAAGTATACAGTTAAGAACAACAGTTACATGCTTAACATGATCTTAGAATACAACTGTAATGGTACAATTCAGCTATTACGGAACGGCATCACTAGCATTTGTTTTAGAATAATGTCAAGCATAATGATGCTTCAACCTTCAGCCCATAAAAAGGACTGTTTAACTTAACACTATCAGTCTTTGATGTTGTCCTGATCACATTTTTCATAAACTTCGGCAAAGTGTGCAGATCACAGTTTCCTGACACTCTTTTTCGTTTTTTGTTCTTTTCAAGGTAAGTATAAACTAAGGTCCAGAAATCAGAATTTTCCAACAAGCTGATTGACTAAACCATACTGCCTCTACAACTTGAATGGCTCAAGATATCAATTCCTTAAATCCATACATAAAGATCAACAGGCAATTGAATCATTCAATCGATCATATTAACATTGTGCAATTTGCTAATGACAAGGATCAGATCATATAAGATCAGGATGTGTTTGCCATGAATGAGGCTCACAAGGTAAAGATCTCCAGATAGATTATAGAGATCTCTATTTGCAAGCTCTTTAGTGGTACTTACTAATTCTGTACATCAAGATAGTTCAACAACTCCTTCCTCGAATTTACGCAGCATGCTAAATATCTCCTAAAACTCAAAACAGATAAACAATTTTCTAGTCATCAGCCATGAAAACAGGAGCTAATTTTCTGTAATTGCAACTTTATGACTATTTAAATTCAACTTCCAACCCCTCTAGATCTAATTACTATCTCTTGTGAGGTTAGGTCTTTAGCCATGAAAACAAGATCCTTAACTTCTGTGAGAACAAAAGGGATGGCACTCTTCAGGAAGAAGAAATCCCCTGAACTTTCGGTGCCAAAGAAACCTAGGAATGTTGGAGTAGAGGTACAGCCAAGTATTTTTCCTTTCAAACCTTTGATGTCGACAACGACTGTAAATTCTCAAGGCTGGTCTCCTATTCAAAATCTACTATGGCAGAAGAAAGAAAGGGTTGAGTTTTGTGTCTCATGTAGCCTTAAGAGTATTATAGAATCAATGCCTTGTATCATGAAGAAACCTACTAACCTCTCTTCCATATCTTTGATAATAGCAGTTTCTTTCTCGGACCACTTAGAATCAATTTCTTTGATTTCTCAGTTTGTTTCATAGACCAAAGAAAAAAATTTGCTCCCTGATCAGTACAGAAAAAAGAACTCTTTGCTGAAAACAGAAACTGAGTGAGTTCTCAGCATACTCTCACCAAGATCGAATCTTTATAGCAACCGCAGCAAGAAATCCAGATCAAGACTCAACCTGCCGGAGAAAGGGAGCGGATGGCAGCCGAACCGTGAGAAACCGAGTGCAGCAGAAAACAGCAAGAGACCTCGGCGAGACCCTTGTTCCTCTGCTGCTGCTTCTTCTTCTTCCGATCCCCATATCTGAAACCCTAAATCACGGAGCTTTTTGGAGCAGGAGTCAGGGCGGCAAGCCGGGATGGAACGATCTACGTGTGATTAGAGTGTTGGAGGTGGGCGTTGTCGTCAATTGGTAAGTACAACATTTGGGCCGCATGTGGGACATAATTAGGCCTTTGATGAATAAAGGCTACGTGAGAAAATTAGTAGGTAATGATACTATTATTATGCAATGTGAGACTGGAGAACCTCTGTTCCATTGATTGTTACCTGCTTCTGTAGATTATGGTCATATCACCAAACAAAGCTTCCCATCAATGAGGACCAAAACAAAAACATGAGACAAAAGGGGAAACAAAGCAACATAACACAAATGGGGGAGCTGCAGAAGTGGTAGGAGACAAGCATGTCAACTCAACCATAATCGCTTCGACATGGTTGGACAATGGAGAGGAGAAGACGGAGACAAAGCACCAGATGTGCACAGGAACAACAGCAATGGCCAAAAATGTCTACAATGTGAGACAGAGAGGTAAAGATTGAAGAGAATGATTGAGCCTACTACGCCAATATCGCAGACTGCACACGCAAAAGCCTCGAGGTTAATTAGGAAGCATTCATCAGCTTCTCTCTATCGTCTTCATCATCTGCATCTGCAATGTGTTGAAGCCTTCCGCCAGTGGGTGCTGCAGCTTCCATTTTCTGTTTCTGCTAGTGGTTGGAGAGGTCCTCCGAGTCTGCTCCTAGGGGCAGCAGAAGAGGGCACCTTCTCTTCCTTCTCCATCACTCTTCTGCTGCTCTACTGATCCGAAAGAGAGATACAAAGACTGTACAGTGCATGTATTTATTTCTTTCTTTCTGTTCTTTTACTCAGTCACACCAACTCTTGACACACTCTCACTCTCTCTGTCTTGATGTCTTCTCCGTCGCACCCCCCTGCTTGGTGAAATGACCTTCACGTCCTTCTCCACCTCACAGGGGAGAGAGAGGAGGGAGGAGGAGGGAAGAGCCAAACTGTGGACCAATGACAGTAGGGCGGACGGGGAACGCGGAAAGAAAGCAACGTACTCCCCCGTGTTTTACGTATCCAATACACACCACCGTAAGATGCTTCAGCCACCGAAACCCAACGAGGAAGGAAGAGAAGGAAGAAGATAAACCCTCGTCTTCTTCTTTGAGCATCATTTCACACCATGAACAAGATAGGATTTCATGGAGGCCAACCTTGCGATCCGAGGAACTCCAAATAGTAGTAGTCTGTTCACCTGATGTATGAACTATATTTGTGTTCTCTGTTCTTCGTCGTATGAATTGGAAAACGACTCGGGCTGCAGTAACAGCAGCAGTCTGCTGGCTCTCCCATGTGCCGGAAACCAACAAGAAGAGGACTGCATCTCATGGACCACCGAAATGTCTTCCTTATGATGATCATTAAGCTGGAACTATCAGAACACCTCCTCCTTCCTCCTCCTGTCTCTAATCAGCAGCTTGCGTTAAGGTGTAGTCTCTCATCATTCGGATCTTAGGTGCTAATGTATAAAATATGGCGATGCTAAATCCGAATCCTTCCGAAGACAGATAGATTGTGTTATCCTTCCTCTATTAGCAGCCCAATGTATTGCTCTATTACATTCCTTAAAACAGTGAAAGCAATCAAAGGTTTGGAATTTTAAGATAAAAGCAGGAATGGTTGACAAGATGTTCCAAATCTTCAAAGGGGGGGCTTTTATCATCGTCGATGCATTTCTTGGACAATGAAGAATCCATTTCAAGGATAATTGCATGTCAATCCTCTTGCCCAGCAAAAATACAACCTCCATTAACATCTCTAGCAATGAAATCTAGGCCTCCCATCTGTAAGATAAAGGATTATTGCTAGACCATCCATGCAAAGGAATGATGGGCATAATGTGCAGCTAATTTTACAGGAAAGAAAACCTAGAGCAAGAGAGAGGGGGGAACAGAGAGAGAGGAGATTAGAGGCCATGACAATCCACACCATGAGGACCAGAGCAGGACCAGCTGCGGAATGCCTGAAGCGTCAAAGAAAGATAAGCTAAGCTTATCATGACTCCAACGTACAGGTAATCCATTCCTGTGACAAGGAAAAGCAGGAACAATGAGATTAAGAGAGAGAGAGAGAGAGAGAGAGAGAGAGGGCATGACAACCCGAACCAACGAGGACCAGAGCAGGACCAGCTGAGGAACGTCTGAAGCGTAAAAGAAAGAAAAGCGAAGCTTATCATCACTCCAATGTGTGCAGGTAATCCATTTCTGGGACAAGGAAAAAGGAGGAACGATGATATCAAAGAAAATAATAGATAGATCAGGAATTTAACGCCACTAGGGGTCCTGCTTAATCTCCTGGCAGTCTCTGTTCTTTCTTTCACAAGGAACAAAGGAACCGGTCATGATGTTGATATGAGGAGATGATCTGCCGCGGTGTTGCTGGGAATTCGTGCAGTAGTACAGAGACAGATCCTAACGCCAATGCTTGTTCTTGTCGTTTCGGTAGAGCGGGAGAGAGAGAGAGTGCGTGTGTGTGTGTGTTTTTGTCTGTCTCAGGAGATTGGTCCGTCGAGGAACGAGGGTTGTCCTGTGCATGGCTGAACAGCCTAACACGGAAACGAGGATTGTTATTGGTTGGAAGATATGGGTCCCACACCTATTTGAATGAGAGTCCTTCTTTTGGTGTCTGGTTGCTCATTAAAAACATAGGATCCGGAAGCAGGACGCTGCAAAGGACGAACTAAATCTTGTTTTTTTTTTCCTACTTTACTATTTTCCAATATATGTGATTGAAAATGAGACCAAAATGTATATATTATCAAATTATAATAAAAAATCAAAGCTTTAAACTTAAAAATTGTTTCTCAAAATAGTGCTTGCTGATTCTGAAATAAATCTTAAAACCTGTGACAAAAATTAATTAGAGATTTCTATGATAATTTAGAGGATATTATTACTATGATTCTCAACAGTTGTGAGGCATAAATCTAAAATATAAATATAGTGCATATTTATATATTTTGATCCACAGTTGGGTTCTTCTTTGCTTCTTGGATGTGCATCCTAGCAAGACAAGGATGAGACTCCTTTACTTTTGGAAACAAGGTAAACAAAAGATGAACTATTCCTAAGGAAAATGGAGAATTAATAGAATTACACTGTAAAATTATGATGTTAAAGCAGGAACCACACTAGAAGACATTAGTGGATGCATCTTTACTCTGCATCCTCTTTTATAGTGCTAACGACACTTTTTGCATTACATTTTATTTTGCCTTTTACCAAATCACTTTTTAATGTACTGCTCAATGTATGGATGGAATGGAGAGATAAATTAATGATCAAAGTGAAACCATTGGTGACTGGGATTTGGAAGATGGATTGGTACTGTGGTTCCCTTTCCAGGATTCCTCCTCATTGTTTCTGCATTTGATGAGGAATTAATTGGTAAGAGTTCATATGCCTCCTGGTTGGGTGCACATGGGTGAGTCAAAAGATGGGAAAGCTTATCCACAGACTGATACAGGCCAAGATTATCCAGAGACTGATTTGGTGATGAAACAGAGACATACAGAGATTCAGTAAAACAGGTACAAAATCAAAACAAGAATGTCATGATTGAACAGAAGAAGGCAAAGACTGACCTTTGTGAGCATTGAAAGCCATGCCATCACATGTGTGTACCAGATATCAAATGCTTCAGAGGCTAATATCACACATACATCCACAATACTGGCTTGGATCTGGAGAAATGTAGTCCAAGTAATGTTGGCTGATCATATATATTGGTTTACCTGCAGAGCATATAATTCTTTGATATTTACATAAATGCTAAATGAAAATTCTTATCTGATTTGTACTTGGAACCATTATATTAGATGTACCGGACAGAGATCTTAGATCATGCATGGTCCCTGCACCAAATGCAGCCTTCAGATACTTGTGTTGAGTTCCATCTTGCTTGTTCTATAAGATTCAAGTCAGCATTTCCACCATTCCTTGAGATCAGGCTTTAGCATAAACAGTCAAAGTGCATAATCAAGAACTTTAACCTTTTCAACCATGCAAGTAACCTCGAGCATCAAGTTCTTTTATAAAAGATCCAAATGGGGTGAGTTCATGTTGTCTCAGAAAATTCAACAAGTGCACAGGAATCTACTAACATATATCTGCTAGCACAAAGGTGTGATCTTAACCAGAGAACTTGAAACGATTAGATGAATATTTGATGTGCCATCAAAAAAGAATTTCTCATTAGTAAACAATTTGAAGCAGCCAGTCTTGCAGCAAAGGCTTTATAGTTAGATTCTGTAACAGTCATCAAAATTATATTATCTACAAATCATCATAGAACATAGATGGGAGCGGTCTATTCAGAGGGGGGCCGAGGTTCCTCCAACCATTTTGCACGGAAGCCTGTGCCTTTGCAATCAGGGCAAGAAGCAGAACCCTGGACGAAAACCACAAGAAGTTTGTCACTATATTAGTCTGCCAGAAAATGTGAGGCTTATCATGTTTACCATATTAGATTACCTTTCCCATGCATATAACACAGGTGGTATTTCTAGAAGGTACTTCACATAGCATTTTATTGCCAAGGATAAAGAAGCCAGTACCAGCACACCACTTGCATTCAACAGAGCCATTTGATCCACAAGAAGAGCAAGCAATTGGAGTTGGCTGCTGCTCCATGTGCACATGCAAATAAGATAATTAGGTTATTCTAAAAATCTTATACTTCCAAATGAACAAAAGGTAAAAAATTGAAGTCTATTTAGACAAGATCAGGAACACTAGCAAACAGTAAGAAAGATTGTTTAAGCATTCTTGCTAACAATGTTTCTTGTTCCAGAGGGTGTGAAGAACACTTGACAAACAAGAGCAACTACTAATACATTTTTTTAAAAAAATTCTAATCAGAACTAAAGAAGCATGATCAAGAGGCTAAAACGATAGCAATTTGTACATGGCATTCCTAGACTTGTAAGCCTATCACCAGAACCAATTAAGGAAACAGCATGTTCCCATATGACAAGATAAAAACACAGACACTGATCTTGCATATAATCGCAATGAACATACGACCACGGCTCCATCATTGACTTGGCCACTCTTTAAGGACTCAAACATGAAACCCAATAGAAATTATTTAAATGATCCATCTGAAGGAGCTCCAATCATCCTCCTAGCAACTCTTTGCCTACATTTCTTGCTGAGCCATGTCAGCAAAATGACCATATTGTGACTGGTACACAAGTTTACCAAGGTGTCTTAACATCAGAGGTAAATTCTACATCAAGACGATATGATACACAATTGCTTGTAGTCTCACCTAGCAGTTATGAAAAACATAAACTGAACAAACAAGTAAAACTAGACAACAGGCTATTTGTTTTCATGAGAAAATATTTTAATCCTTTTCTCACATCCTCAAGGGTGGACTTCTACAACAAGTTGCTCCTTCAACATGGGAGATCAAACTCTCAATCTAGACCAGGGCCTCACCTCTTCCCAAATCCTCAGAAGAATATATTATTTTCCTCATGAGTATAAAACAAGCTGAAAATTTGTATTTCAATTGTTAAGAGAAGCCATAAAGTTCCCAATCCTTTTGTTTTCCCAAGTACAAAATTCAGGTTCCACTTAATGAAACCCATCAAATAGTTTGCTACAGTGGTTCATTAGGGTTAACCACAAACAGTATGAAGGTTGCACCAGTCCTTTTTACGTGATGGACTTTTAAATTTTCATTGATGAAGGCATGCTTTCACAGTACCTGACCAAATTCCTAGTCAGAGCTACTGTATTAGACCAACATTTAAAAATTTTGGCATGACAGTGTTCAGCGGTCATGAGGAGGCTATAACCAACTATCAATAAGTGAAACAAAGAAATCATTTTAGTTACCTGACACTGCCATGTTACTAGCGATGATGGTTACAAACTTCAATGGCATCCTAGAACCCTCATATATGTAGAAGAGACAACTGTTCGTAAACATTAACTTACTGAATAACTGGGTTAATAGAGTGGTTGACATGAATAACTTGAATGCATAACAGTGAGGTTACTTCTCTCGTGCTAAGACAAGTCTGAGAGGTAAATACCTAATTATTAATACTGAACATCACAGAATCCACAACTAACAATGAAAGTAATTTGCAAAACATTTTGGTTGAGCAGCATTATAGATGGATTCATAGTTCTATAAATCCTAAGGAATCTGATAACTGATTTCTTTGTTATATTAGGACTGAACTGAATGAAGCTAAAAAAACATTGATCTGATCGATTCTTCTACATTGAAGCACAACGAGAGTGATTCACAGAATTTAGAAGCCCAACTAACGAATAGCATTCCTCAGATTTACAAGAGGGACATGAAGAAAAATTAAGATCATTCAACATTTCAATTGCATACCGACTATCAAGAAAAATAAAGCAACATAAGCACTTCATTGTCATAGTCCTCTATCTTAGTGGCGATTACATACCTTAAATAAGATCGTAACCATATCATGGCCCACAAGCCTCTTACTATTCACAACATACAATGATGCTGGTTTTGAAGCAAACATTCCAGCATATACGTCCTAATTCCTGTGTGGTGTCAGAAACTTCGTCTACACTTAGTAATGTTTCAACAATTGAGATATATAGATCGGGAAGTTTTGATCTTGACAACGTATATTCCACAAATGAGGATACTCTACGTCTATCAACGAACCTCAAAGGAATAAGCTAAAATTCAAACACCAACCCAACAAAATCTCGATTTCATCAGTCAAGCATCAAAAGGAGGGAAAAATCTCACCTTTGTCCAATAAAGAGGGCCTAAACAATAGCCCTAGCATCGCAAAGGATAACAAAATTGAGCAGCGAAGGAGAGACAGATGGGGAGAAGAAGCAATCAAAGCGTACCTGAGAGATGAGCCAGGCGCGCTCCATGCGCTTGGCGAAGCTGGAAGAGCTCTCGGATGAATCGACCACCGAGGCTCTGACAAGGAGCGCCGGAACCTTCCGGAGGCGTCCAGAAGGGGCAGCCGCGACGGAGGAGCCGCTCCACCCGCCAAGGCTCCGGGGAGGAAGAAGGGGATTCGTCAGCACGGAAGGGAGGGGCCCGCAGAGGGAGCAACAGGTGATCGGCATTGGTGACCTTCCTCCCCCCTTCGACGTCTTCTTCCTCTTTTATAGCCCTTTTTGTCGTCGATAGACTCGAGTTCCACTCACCCGCGGATGTACGTACGATAGCTATATTAGTCACCGTGTAAGGCTAACGTACAATGGGGAATTGATCGAAGTTATGAATCACGATAGCATAAGTATACCTAGAGGACAGCATATCCTATACAATTAGAATAGGATGACAACATAGAACAATTTAAAGGTCAAAAAAGAAGAATATTTGTTGACTAAATTTAGAGAGATGAAGAATTCTAATTGTTCTTCTTCTGTCTTTTGATCTATCAAATAAATAAATATATACTTATAATTACAAGAGAAAAAAGTTGAATTATATTTTTTATTTTTATAGAGAAATATGTGAACAAAATGAAATCTGATATTGATAGAGGGGTGTAGACGTAATCAATTTTTCAACGGTGATCGATATCTTAACATCGTATGGCTCCTTTGTATTACGTGTGACGATATCTCACATTGTAATCAACACATCAATGTCACTAGGCAACAATTGGGTTTAGGATAAACGTATAATTCCTCCATAATATTATACCCCACAATTGATATTGATCACGGTAATAACGATCCAAAGAGTCCACTGTAAAAAGACTCTGTAGTCTTTTAAGCTACATCCGAATATGTTAAATCATAAGCTTAGTATTAGAGACATTTGTTGAGAATGTGATGCAATTCAACATTCTTAAAATCAAACAAATAAGTCCTTAATCAAAATTAAACTAAGACAAATATTTTAAAAAAAACCTAATTGACTTCCAATCAGCGTGTAGTTCGATCAATCAATTCTTGACTTAAGAGATGGATACCAATGTGTTATATATATAGATGGTTGAAAATTTGAATATAATATCTATCAATGCCGTCCGAACTCAACCCAATTTTGAATGTTATATTGATTTCATCGTTTTCTTAGTCAAAATTGATGAAATCTTATATGATCAGATTTGTCGCTGACACAGATGGCTGCTACCAGTGTCGAATTTGGATCCTCTGCAAGCATCTCAGTGGCGCCATGGCGGTGCCACGAAACAGGAGAGGAGCTCCTCCCATTCTTACGTGGGAGATGAAGCAGCAGGAAACGCCATGTCCGGAATCATTGGGCAGGAAGATGCTGTCCTTGTTACTCAACGACACCCTGTTGCATCTCTGCTACGAAATCGCCATGAAATTTACTGCACCGCACTACGATCACCTAAAAAGAAACGGTATCCAAAGCAGTCATTTATTTCTACC